CCCCAAAACCCCAAAACCCCAAAACCCCAAAACCCCGTTGTAATGTAAGTAATTGAATTTGGCGAAATCCATTAACTTCAGGATTAATTTATCCAAAATCCATTAATCTCTGGATTAATTATGAAAAAGCATGCAAAAAGCAAGTGATCAACCCGCAAACCCCAACAAAGGATGTCTTGAGAACTATTATGGCCTAATTAATCATCTAGATTAATAGTCTTGATCAACTCTCCTTCGTTCCACTCTGTTTCTAACTTTTTACCATTAGCATAGTGTCTTGTTGCCTTCCCATGCAGCTTTCCATTTTTGAATGATCCTTCATCTCTGTCTCCGTTTTTCCAAGTTCTGACTCCAGTTCCAGTCATCTGGTCGTCAACAAAGTCACCTTCATAGGTCTTTCTCAACACAAGCTTGGGTATTACTTTTTCACCATTCTTTTTAACTTGAGCTAAGTCGCCTGCATACTTTAGTTCATCGAAATAGTAGTAGGTTCCTTTTCCGTGTCTTTGGCTATCCTTCCATTCACCCTCGTATCTTCATCCATTCTTGTACTTCTTGACTCCGTACCCATTAAAACTTCCTCTTTGGAAGTCACCTTGATAAGACGATCCATCAGTCCAAGAATATAACCCTTTTCCATGTAATTTGCCATCCAAGAAATCTCCTTCATACTTGTTTTTATTACCAAAAACCTCTGTTCCCTTTCCATTGTATTCATCGTTCTTCCAATAGCCTTCGTACTTTCCTCCATTAGTATATTTCTTGACTCCATATCCTTCTTTCTTGTCATTAACGAAGTTTCCTTCATAAGTTGTGCCATCAGCCCATGTGAATAATCCTTTACCATGCATGTCACCTTTAAGCCAGTCTCCCTCGTACTTATTTCCATTGGGAAAATAATATGTTCCTTTTCCGCTTTGGAGACCATCTTTAAAATAGCCTTCATATTTATCTCCACTGGGTCACTTAAAAACTCCATATCCACTCTTCTGCTCATCTCGCCAACCTCCGTCATAAGTTTTTCCGTCTGCCCATGTGTATAATCCGTTTCCATGCTTAGAACCATTCTGGTATTCACCTATGTACTTGTCCCCATCAACATCAATGTAAGTTCCTCTACCATTCCTACTATCATTCTCCCAAAACCCTTCATATGTGCTTCTGTCTTTATAAATCATCTTTCCATATCCACAAAATTTGCCATCCTCAAACCTGCCAGTATAAGATCCTCCAGTCGCAAAGGTATATACTCCTTGACCAGTCATCTTACCATTTCTAAAGTCGCCTTTATATTTATTTCCATTTGACCAGTAAAAGGTTCCTTTTCCAGTTCGATCTCCACCAACCCATTCTCCTTCATATTTATCTCCATCTGGCCAGTAATAGGTTCCTTGTCCAGTTCGTTCCCCATCAACATATTCTCCTTCATATTTGTGGCCATTATTCCAAACAAAACGTCCTTCTCCATGTTTTATTCTATCGAAAAATCCTTTTGTTTCTCCTTCATAGAAGCCGTAGTCATAATTAATCCTGTTTCCCATAATATAAGCAGAAATATATTTATACCTTCAACTCTCCTCGCTTAAATGGGGTTTTGGGGTTTTGGGGTTTTGGGGTTTTGGGGTTTTGGGG